CCATTAATAAAAAAAAAAAAAAAAAAAAAGAGAAGAATTATTTTATTGTATTTCATTTAAATTATTTATTTATTTTAATTTGACCAGAGAGGAAAAGAGTGAGAGAGGGAAAGTGAGAAAGCAAGCCACTAGGTCCAGGAATTGAACCATGGTTGGCCATGTGGGAGTCCAGCGCCCCTAATCACCATGCCACCTGCCAACCCCCAGTCTAAGTTTAAATATATATATATATTTATATATAAACATATATATAAAACCCATAGCCATACAATTTTTTTAATTGCCAGTAGGCAGGCATGTGTACACGACAGAGAGAGACAAAAAAAAAAAAAAAAAAGAGAGAGAGAGAGGGAAGCGCCCTTCCACGAGGCATGGTCATGCCACACTCCCTTCTCCATTTCTCCGTTTTATTGGAAACTGGAGCACACAGAAGTCCCCAGCATGTTTTTCATGCTGCTGGGGCCAAGATTCAAACCTCAGTCTGTCATATAGGATCCAGCTCCCTTAACCACTAGGCTGTGAGCCCAGCCATAACAAATGTGACACTCAAGTTTAACTTCTGCCGCAGAAGGCATCTCTCCTTTACCCCTGCCTCACTGGCCTTGTAGTTCCTTATACTGGGCCAGCACACCCCTCTAAATATACCATATTATAATATCCTTGTGCATGCAGAGTTTTGCTATCTGTGTCCTTACACTAGAAAATGAGCCCAGTGAGAATTATTGAGATTATTTTCTCACTTATTAATGTATTCTAAGTGACTGGAACACGTTCTGTTACATAGAGGATGGACAATAACTCTCTACTGAATTAAGGAAATGACTGAAAGAACACAGCCTTACCTAATGACAGCAGATTCCTGGAATTCTCCAGCATCACTTCTTTGTACAGATTTCTTTGCTTGGGGCTCAGTATCTTCCATTCTGCCTCTGTGAAGATCACAGTCACAGCCCTGACTGTATTGGTGCCGACGAACAAGCAGTAAAGTAATGTACTGAGTTACCCACAATTTCCCAGTGTGAAGAACATAGACCCCTGGCCCTGGAGAATCCAGATATGCAAGGAGTTGATTTAATTCTTTTCTGAGTACATGGTTCTTCCTATCAAGCTCTTCAAGGTGCTACCGTATGTCTGGTTTTGTGCTAAAACCGCAAGGAACGTAACTGATGAACACATTCCAGGCCCTTGAACACTCACGATGTCTTTGGGGAAACAATTCATGCATCAGTTTGAAACATTAAACAGTACCCTAGACAGCTGACCTTGAGAAAGAATTCAAATATGGAAGAATAGAGGATGGGTTAGAGAAAAAAAAAATCATGGAAATGGGGCTGCTGCTGGGTATCAAGGAATGGTAAAAATGTAAAAGAGAAAACAGAAGAAACTTTGGGGGCCAGTATGGTGGTTAGGGCATGGGAGTCCCACATAGTTGACCACAGTTTGAGTCCCAGAGCCAGTGGCTTGAAACTCATACCAGGCACATGTGCGTATGTGCCCAAAATCCCAAGAGGAAAATGGAGGAGAATGAATTGCAGTGTGGTCATCCCCCGGGGGATGATTTCTCACTTTCTGTATCTCTGTCTCTTTCTATGTCTCTGGCAAGTACACACGCCCTATAGCAAAAATCTCTCTCAAAACTAAACAACCAAAAAAACATTTTGACTATACAAAAAAGTGGGAGTGAACAAATGGAGTCTGGAATAAGTATTTTTGAAGAGTTTAGGTTACTAAATGGAATCTGTAAAATCTCTGTCTTTGTGTAAGTATTTTTTTTTTTGAGAGGTTTTTGCTATAGCGTGTGTGTATTTGCCAGAAAGACAGAGAGAGGCAGAGAGATAGAAAGCAAGAAATCACCCCTCAGAGGGGATAGCCATGCTGTAATCCCTTCTCCTCTATTCTCCTCTTGGGATCTTGGGTACGCACGCACACGTGCCCAGCTTGAGTTGAAGCCACCAGGTCCAGGAGTCGAACCGCAGTTGGCTACATGGGAGTTCAGCGACATAGCCATTACGCCAACTGCTGGTCCCTGTCTAAGTATTTTAACAACCATTTTAGATAAAGCCCCTAATGATTCACTCATCTGCCTAAATGTTGATCACTTTTGCTCTTCCTAAGAAAGAGAATACATGTCTTACTCTCTGGGAAATGAGCCACCAATTCTGGGGGGGAAAATGTAACCACAACTCACCAGTATTTTGGGCTTTTCATCCTTTCCTTGGGGCCAGTCGGCATCATTAGAAGACAAACCTAGGGAA